CAAGAACGCAAGCGTGGTAGGACAGGACTGGGGAGGAGGAGGAGGAGGAGGAGGAGGAGGGGGGCGACGAAGGAGAATCGAGGAGAGATAGAAGACGACAAAGTGGGACCAAAGGGCCTGACATTGACGAAGGGGAATCCAGAAGAGATAATTAATTCGGCGACGACAAGAGTAAGACAAGATGAGCCGTGGAGTTTTTCTTCGTGACTCTTCGCGCGAGAAGCCGCGCGCCGCAACTGCGTTTCCGCCTGCCGCAACTGCGGACAAGCCCAGATAATTGCTGACTGACTCAAAGGAAGTGAAGCGCGGACGAACCGCCTGCGGAGTTCACTCGCGCGGGCGCCGCAACTGCGGGCGGACGCATGCGGAATGCGAGCGGGGGCGCCGCAACTGCGGACGACGACGCGCGAAGTGAGTGAAAGGATCGCGGTGTCACGAGATCGGTTTCCGCAACTGCGGTTTCAAGCCCTCTCCCACCTCGGTTGTAGCCCAGCTCCTTTGGTTGCGTCGAACCGCCCCGATATTGGCTTGGCGTGCAATCTCTTGTAGCATGAGTACGTGCCACGTCCCGCGCTCTTGCCGAGGCCCGCCCCCGGGGGCTGCACGGGCCCCCAGCGAGGCTCAACCTCATACAGGCTGAACTTCGGACTGGACCATTCCGGGTGAACGCGAATGCCTGAGCCGTCGTCGCGGATGAGGACGAAATCCCACACGGGCAAGCGGACTGCCTGCGCTTCTCCTGCCCACCCCTTTGGCGTGCCTATTGTGGTCGTAACTGCCAGGGCACGGCGAAACTCGCACCTGACCAATCCGCGACTGCGGTCGTTGTCAGGGCCGCACACGACGAGTTCCATTGTGGCCGCATCCATCTGCGCGACCAGCTGCAGCCAAGACCACGGGACCAGTTCTGCGCGGCCCCACTCCCAGTCCCTGTTGCCCTGCGCCCCTCCGCGCCCTTTGCGCTTGATAATGCGCGAAATCGCTCCCACAACTGCGGGGTCAAAAACAGGAAATCGGCTGTTGAAGGGGTCAGCTGGGTTTTCGTACTCTTCGCGGTAGTACTTCAAGGCCGCGCTGTGCTGCTTATAGTTGCCATGCCAGCGCGCCACGTAGGTTTGGAAGTACTCCAACGTGTACACCCCAGGGCGGCTTGCGTCCGCAACTGCGGCACCTCCTCGCCCTGGGACATGCGCCACTGCGGTTTTCCCCTTGCCCTTCGCGTCGTCTGCCGCTCGCCCTGCGGGGGCGCCCTCTCCTTGGACGTGCGCAACTGCGCCTTGCCATTGGTTTTCGCGGCCGCCTTCCCATCCGCTCCCAGCGGCCGCCTTCCCAACCGCTCCAGCGGCCGTCTTCCCATCCGCTCCAGCGGTCCTGCTCGCCGCCTGCGCCCTCTCCTCCACCGCTGGCGCGGCCCCCCCAACTTCCACTGGCGCCATGAGTTCCGCCGCCACCCTCCTCTCCGCATTGCCAACCTCCGCCGCCGCACTCCCATCCGCGACTGCGGTCAACTCCGTCGCCGTTTCCCCATCCATCCCTTTGCCATGCGCCACTGCGCCAATCTCCGCCTTGCCATCCACCACTGCGGCCATCCCCGCCGCCCCATCCGCCACTGCGGTCGCCCCGCCATCCACGAGCTGCCCCATCGCCGCCTTTGCCCCATGGAGGCCCCGCAACTGCGGCCCTATTTTCTCTGCTTCCTCCAGGGCCGCCGTTTCGCACATATTTGCCAATATGTGCAATTATCTGCCCATCCTGCGCAGGCGCGAGCCCGCGCCACCGCCGACGTCGGCGCTGGTTTGAGCCGAACGGCACTGCTTGAGCCGAACGGCACTGGAGGAGGAGGGCGGGAGGGAGAATGCAGTGAGGAGGATCGGGGAGGGGTCGAGAGCTCACCTTTCCAGGGCGCCCCCCCCCCCCCCCCCGTGACCGCTTCTTCGCGGCGGGGGGTCGGGGGCGCGGGTGGTCGGGGGGGGGGGGGGGGGGGGGGGGGGGGGGGGGGGGGCGAGTGGGGCGTTGTTGTTGTTGGCCGCGAAAGCGGCGCGCGATCGGGCCGATGCAATAGCTTTGCGTTCGTTACTGAGGCTGGCGTGCGCGGTGTCGGCGGCCCTGGTGAACGTCGGCATGTCGTTGACGCTGACAGTGTTTCCGATGGCCTTCAAGTGGAGGCGTCCAATGTCGGTGTGCTCGATAAGGGAGTTCGCGAGCGGGGCGTTCTGGTACCATACAGCTCGTGCGATGCTGCGGAGAGTCATGGCGCGGGTCTCCGTGGATACGGGTCATGGCTGCGATGTCAATACGTCTGCTGGGAGCTTGGTCAGTGCGTCGCGGGCGTGGGCGGCTGCGACCTGCATCGCGGCCTTGAGCGCGCGCCATCTCGCAATCGGGGTCATGTTAGTCACGTCTATGCTGGCGGGAGCCTTGGTGATGTGATGTTTGTAGTGGATAGTGTCGAAGATGTACGCGGGGATGCCTCGCTCCGTGGCGATCTTGGGCTTGCGGAAGCGAATGCGGACGTGCATAATCTTGTGGTCGCTTATCGGGCCGCGGGGGTTCTCGAGCGGGGGGTCGTCAGCTATGTAGATGGTCTCCATGAGGGGCATGAGATGACTCGGGAGGTTGATGAAGCATCGGTCGATGGTGGATTCGCTCATGTTCCCATCAGCTCTGTGGGTAGTTGAGGATGATGTGATCTCGATCATGTCGCGGAACAGCGATCGCCAAAATACAGGTTGGCATTGGTACCGCTGCGCGGCGGTGGTGTCAGAGTCAACGGGGGCGTTCGGCGACTTCGGTGGGAACTCAGCAACGTCGAAGTCGCCCACGACCATGGAAAGGCGATGTTGTGGCTGTTCGTCAGCATGCTGTCGGAGAGCTTGCCGCTGCTCTCAAAGATAGAGTCGATCTGCTGCGGTAAAGCCGTACTTGTGGATGTTGAGGACGGTGACCTCGAACTGGAGGCCGGCATCCGTGACCCGAAGCCAGGCGGCACGGCCATGGATGACGACCTCAAACCTGATGCGAGGACGCAGTTCAGGGGGAAGCATTTGCTCGCCTTTGTCGCACGGGACGAGGAAGCCCACGCCGCCTGCGTTGGTGGCGGGGAAGTTGTCAGCCACCACGGGGGAGTGGAACGGCTTGCACGGGTGCTGGGTCGAGTTGGCCAGGAAGGAAAGGTCGTCGATCGTGCCGTGCGTTCCCCGGATGGCGATTAGTGCTCTTTGCAGAAGATATGGCAAGATCATGCGGCGTTTGTCTTCACGACGTTGGTCAGATTGTCCGAGTAGGGCTTGTGCGCTCCAGAAGGCAACGTTGAGGCCCTCCTGCGAGGGCTTGAGGAGCCATGGGCTCCAGCGGTGGCTAAAGCCACTGCGCGGAGGTGAGGGCGTCTGCGAAGTTGGAGGCGAACTCTGCGTTGATCTGCCGCTGCTTGGCTTCGTCGAAGCCGCAGGTGATGGCGGCGCTGGACCACTGGATGCGGGCAGGAGCGTCCGCGTGAGCTCCGACGAGCAGGCGGGCCAAAGCTTCACCACGGTTTTCCATGTAGCCAAGAGCCCGATGAGTGCGAATGTCAACGTCAGGCACGGCATTCTGCATGATCTTTGAGAGTCGTTTGATTTGCACTTCTGTTCGAACGGTTTTCGGACTTTTGTCGGCGGAGACACAGAGAGGAGCAAGAAGACCATTGCTCCGAAGTGTACTGAAAACGCGCCATTCCTTTCCGTTGCGGAGAGCACCGTGGAGTCGTTGAGCGCGTGGTTCTGCCACGACAGTTCCTCCGCTGACCTGGGATGAGTGGCGCTTGGCGGGGCCGATGGCGTTGAAGATGATGTGTCTCTCGTCGATGCCTGCGGCGGTGAACCAGTCGGCAAGGCTCTTCTCGAGCTCGGGCTGGTTGAACTCCTGCTGGCTGCTGCACCAGAAAGTCGTTGGGTCGGGATCGCGGTCCCATGTGCCAAGGCCGTCAAGGTTGAGGGGAGGCGCTCGTGCTTCTGCAGCTGTGACGATGGCGTCGGGTCTGGCGACGGCGGCTTTGAGGTCGAAGTTCTCTTCTCCAGGGAGGTGGTGCACTGCTTGACCTATGTGATGTTGCGTTCGGTGGCCTCGTGGCGCTGGCTGAGGTCGGATGTGATCTTCGTGAGGCTGTCGAGGAAGTCTTGACTAGCTTTGGCTGTGACGGCTCGGGCGGTGGCTTCGAACTTGGCGCTGGCGTCGGCGATCTGAGCGGCCATGGTCTCCTCCAGCTGCTTGCGGACGTGTGCGAGCAGGCCATGCACGGAGAGTTTGTTCCCGAGTAGTGCTGCTACTTCGTGCCATGGGTCTTGTTGGCGCTTGCCGTCCACTTCTCCGAGTACAGCGTCGGTGGCGGCAGGTGCTGGTACGCCTTTGCCTCCCATGCTATCTGCTTGCGAGAGATGAGGCCCGCGCCAGCCTCTGTCGATCGCGCGTGGTGGCAGCAGCTGGCGACAACTGTGCCGAATATGAAGCTCGACCACCTGGGATGGTGGAGGGCGTGGTTATGAAAGCGGGTCCTGAGCTGTCCCTGGACAAAGGGTCTCCGTGCTCTGCCACGGGGCGGAAACATCTTGAGCCAAAATGGCTACGGAAGGAGGAAGGGGAGGAGGAGGAGGAGGAGGAGGAGGAGGAGGAGGAGGAGGAGGAGGAAGGGGAGGAGGAGGAGAAGGAGGAGGAGGAGGAGGAGGAGGTGTGTGAGAGAGCTACAGACAGAGAGAGAAAGAGAGGGAGAAAGAGAGAGAGTGAGAGAGAGAGAGACAGAGAGACAGCGGGGTGGAAGAGTTGGAGAGGAAGGGGAAGAGAGCCCTGAGGAGGCTGAGCTGGGAGGACGAGGGCGAGGGCAATGACCAAAGTATCGAGGGGGGTGGTGGATGTGAGGAGGGAAAGCAGCGATGCAGAAGAAGAGAACCAGGAGGAGCAGCAGGAGAAGGGATGGGCGGCCGTGGAAGGAGGAGTGATGCATCGCGCGCGCGCGCGCCAGAGGCCCCTTTTACATGTCACTGATTGCCAGCCGCCTGTCAGCACAAATAGGGGCCATTCCTGGACTGGCCGTCGAAAGAAAGGGCGCAGGCGGATGCCCGCGTAAGAAGAACAACTTCGGCGCCGCACGCCACGATCAGGGGGCTAAGAGCCCTCCCTGTGCAGGGCACAGCGCCACCTCGACGGATAAAGATTGCTTAAAACGTAAAGCCAGAGCCCGAGCGCCCCGGAACACGGCCGAAACAGTGGAGCGCGCTGGCGCGCTGGTGAGACCTGGGACGTGGGCCTGCTCGCCGGACCTCCGGCGCTGTGATCTTGCTCCATCTGTGGGCCCACGGGGTCTCGGCCCCATCCCCGTTCGGGCGTGGAGGAACCAGCCTCAGCGCAAACCCGGCTCAGTCAAGAAAACATGCGCTGCTCGTTTGCTGGCGGGCTTCCCAAACCCAGCTCAGCCAATACCTCAAGCCACACCTCCAAGGCCGCGGGCGGCTCCTGAACCCGGCTCAGCCAGATTTCGGCTTTGCAGGATCCTGCAAGATTCGGCCTTCTGGCTGAGCCCCGTATGCGCAGTAGCCCGTGTCCTGTTGCGTGCGCCCCGACCCATGACTGGTTGTTCGTCCCGGGCGCTGTTGTCAACAATGATATGGCCCCGGGAGAGACCGGGACCATCGGCGCCCCCGGATGCATCCCTTGTCGGCGGCGACGATAAGGTCGAATAGCCCAGGGGCGGGCATTACAATTAGGTCGGGCGGTCCCCCTACAGGGGGATTTGGGGCGAAAAATGCAAATGAGTCCAAAAATAATCACACATGGCCAGAAAAAAAAACAAAAAAATCGTCCCCTGACTATTTTTGTTACTATCTTCGGATCTTCCTCCTGTAGGGGGACCTCGCCGAAGACGTGGATCATCGGCGCCCCTGGATACGTGTGTTTAAACAGGCCCAGGGACACACAAATAAATACACACAAAGACCAGGATTCCCCATATTTTCCTAAATTCTCTGGATCTTCATCTTCCCCCCCACTTCCCACATTTTCCGGTATTCTCCTGGGGGTCGACGATTGATTGCCTCTGTGTGTTTTTGTTCCCCCTCCTGGATATATGGCTCGCCCCCTGGGCTCTTCGGCCCGATGATCGTCGCCGTGCCGACCTTGGGCTATCCTCGTCCCCGTCGCCAGCCCCCCGATCGAGGGGCAACGAGAGGGGGGGATGGGCATAGGAGGGGATGCATCGACTTGGAATCGGCGATGCATCGTCGATAGATCGGCGATAGGCCTCCAATAATGAATCCGCACCTTCCTGGGCAGGTTGGGGCTATCGGGCCCCTTGTCGGCGATCAATGGGCGATTGGGGGTCGATGCATCCCCCCCATTGCCTATCCCCCCCTATCGTTGCCCCCGACCGATCCTGCGCGGGGGGGGGCGGCCTGGCGCGCCCGTCTCTCGGCAGCACGAAAGGAGTGACCCTGGGCAGAAGAGCGACCGGGATCTTCTGACCCGGGTCAATCCAGACCCGGGTCAGCGGGAAACCAAAAAACTGCAATGCAAGGGAAAAAACTGCAACGCAGGTCTTCGCCAACCCGGGTCAGCCAATAGGCGCGGCCGCCTCGCGGCCACGAGCGGCTCGCTGACCCGGGTCAGCCAGAGCGGGTCTTCGCAGGATCCTGCAGGGTCCGGCGCCCTGGCTGACCCCCGTTTGCATTGACCCCCGTCGCAAGGCTCCCGAAACCTGTGGCGCGTGGTCTTTTACTGGGGAGGCCCTAGAAGTGGGCGGGGGGGGTCAGACACGGCCCCCTCTCGTGCCCCTCTCGGGCCCCCGCGGAGCCCCAGGGGGGGGCTCGTTCAGGCACCGTTCGGGCACCCTTTCTCCTCCTCCTCCTCCAAAACCTCCTCCTCCTCCAACTTCTCCTCCAACTCCTCTTCTCCTCCTCTTCTCCGCCTCCTCCTCCTCCAACTTCTCCTCCAACTCCTCTCCTCCCCCTCCTCCTCCTCCTCCTCCTCCTCCTCCTCCTCCTCCTCCTTCCTTCCCTCCCCTTCCCTCCCCTTCCCTCCCCTTCCCTCCCTCACTCCCACCCTCGCGTGCCCCCCCCTCCCATCTTATGACCCCCCCCCCAGTGCGCAACGCCCATGACCTGTGGTGTGCGGCCTGCCGGGGGCCGCGGGGGACCGAGCACAAGCGCGGCGCGAGACGCTGCTATCGTACCGCCTGCGGCGATCGGGGGGGCCCAAAACTGACCTCCCAGGAGGGCCACAAAATCACGACAGCGCCAAGACGTCGACGTCCAAATTCCAGTCGAGGCCCTGGGCCTGAAACAGTCCAGATAGGTCTAGGTCTGGTGTGCTTTTGTGTCGCACTCTGGAAAGCAGAGGTCCCCTACATGGGGTCGGAGTAGATGGGGTCGGTGGATCGCGCCTCATCGGCAATGCATCGGCGATGCATCGGCGATGCATTGGGGATGCACCGGCGGCGCATCGTCAACGACGGCGATGCATCGGCGACTTCGACGT